GACGGCACGTACGCGTTACAGATCGCTCCCGCGTCACGCGTGCCACGATTTTTCAGCTCCACTCGCGACGACGGTCGTTTCGATCGGACGAAAAGCGAAGATCCATCTCGCAACGGAGAAAGTTTCGACTAAAAATTTCTCGAAGAAGAAGGCAAGGCGTCGTCTCGATCCTTCCACGTACTTTCGACTTCGCAGCCGGTCGTACGCAGAGCTCGTTGCACGGAAACGAACGGACGCGTCGACGACACTGGGAACGCAGAAAAGACGCGAAACTCTCTCGTCTCGCGAGTCGTTGCGTTCGAGGTCCGTCCGCGTTCGTCGTTGGACGAGATTCGCGCGTTGATCGAAGAGCGACGGAAATTCGTCGCGTCTCTTCTCGTTGCGTCGTCTCGCTCGTTACGTTCTCTCGCTCTCGTCGTCCGATCGATCCGCGGCAAAGAGGAAGAAGACGGTAAGTAGCAACGACGATTGTCCGTTGACTCACACTCGCAGCAGCAGCAGCAGACGCACGCATCTGCGATTCGTGGTTCTCACCGCCGCGTCGTATCACGTTTCTTTGATCGCACTCTCGACACTACACACACACACACACACACACAGAGTTTTCGAATCGCATGGGAGGACGACGAAAGAGAGGGAGAGCAAAGAAGACGGAAGAAGGAAGGACGGTCATCGCGATCAACGCCACTGGACGTCCGATCCACGCGTGCAAACGCAAAAGAGGCAGTCGGTCGGTCGTCGGTATTATCGCGCGGAACTGACGGAAGAACGATCGCCGTCGACCGTGGACGGTAGACGGGAAAGCGAGAGGAGAGCGGAGGAGGACGCCAGCGGCGGCGAGTCGGAGGCGACGCAACGTTCGCGAAAAACTTGGTCGACAGAGTCGTCGGTGGTTGGTGGTTGCCGCTGCCGAGACGCCGACAACGCCGGAACGTTGAGATTTTCGGGCAAAGGAGGCGACACGTTATCTTGGAATTGTCCGGATACATTACCGACGGGTCGGTAATTAGCCACTACGACGATCTTTCCGCTTCTGCTGCGTGCCTTTCCAACGCCGAAACAACGACTACTCGCCCAAACGAGTTGGGTAAAATGACCTGCGTTGCAAACGTAAAGAGAGGCGTGAACCACGTCGACGCGGACGCGACGTCGCGCTCGATGCTCGGGGGTTCGAAGGAATACCTGCGTTCACGTTGGCATGGAGAATATCCGGTTCTTTGAAAAAGTCATATTGC